AAAAAAAAAAAAAAAAAAAAAATGCATCTACTTTCTCCATTCCCATGAATGCCAACCTAGTTCAATTGACCATCATCCCTCTTAATTTAACTATTTGTGCCCTCAATCATTCTCCGTTTAGCAGCCAAAGATCTTTTAAAATTATAAATCAATCTCGTTTAAGCAAACCTTTTAACAAGCTTTCTACTGCACCTTCTAAGGCCCTACATGAAGATATCTTGTACCTGCCATTTTTTTTTTTTCTCGAGGAGTCATCTCACTTTTGTCCCCCAGGCTGAAGTACGATGGCGCAATCTAGGGTCATTGCAAACTTCACCTCCTGGGTTCAAGAGATTCTCCTGCCTCAGCCTCCCAAGTAGCTGGGATTACAGGCACCCGCCACCACACTCAGCTTTTTTGGCATTTTTAGTAGAGTCGGGCTTTCACCATGTTGGCCAGGCTCGTCTTGAACTCCTCACTTCAGGTGATTGGCCTGCCTTGGCCTCCCAAAGTATTGGGATTACAGGCAAAGGGCACCACACCTGGCTGTCCTTGCCTCATTTTTAAAACCTCTCTCAACACAATCCCACTTCCATAGCTACAAGCCTTTAGGTTCTTTTGAGAAGAAAGAAATATATTTAACAGATACAAAATAACACCTAGATAGTAGGAGTAAGTTGTAGTGTTCTACAGCACTGTAGAGTAACCAAAATGAACAACAATGTATTGTATATTTTCAAATAGCTAGAAGAGCAAGAGCAGATTTTGATGTTCCTAGCCCAAAGAAATGATACACATTTGGGATGATGAATATGCTAATTACCCTGATTTGATCATTACATTGTTGTATACATGTACTGAAATATCACTGTACCCCACAGATATGTATTATACAATTATCATGTGTCAATCAAAAATAATAATAAAAGCAAAAAGAAAGAAAGACATTACTTCATTTCAGAATCTTTGTACATGCTGTGTCTTTTTCTACGGACAATCATCCTTCTCTTGCATGCTCCGCCAGTTAACCGTTCACAACTTCACGTTCTTTGGGTCTCAGCTTAAACATTATTTCCTTAGAGAAGCATTTTTTGTTTTTTTTTTTTAAGACAGGGTTTCACCATGTTGACCAGGCTGGTCTTGAACTCCTGACCTCAGGTGATCCGCCTGCCTCGGCCTCCCAAAGTGCTGAGATTACAGGCGTGAGTCACCACGCCCAGCCCAGAGAAGCTTTTTCTGCCTGATCACTCAAGCTAAAGTGGGCTCCCTGCTGCTCTCATAACCATTATTTTTCTTCATAACACTTATTACATATTTGTTTACTATATTTGCAGATGGGTCTTATGCCTGTTTCTCCTATTAATTAGACTCTAAGCCCATACTGAGTAAGGACTATACTGCTTATATCCCCAGTTCTTCATATGACACTTGGCATTTAAGCTATTCAAAAAATCCACTGAATGAATTGGAAGAGCAAACAAATAAATGCCGATGTGATTGCCTAGGTGTAGAGTAGAGCGAGAAAGGTTTTTATATTTAAGACAGTAGATGAGCCCACAAAAAGACACTATCATCCATACTACTAGGGCACTTTTCAGACCATTTACATTACAGTATATATCTGATCTCCTATAACAAATCACAAATTCCTGGAATGAACTGCTGCAATCAGATAGTCTTGGTTGTAAATCCAGGTGATGCCACTTCCTAGAATGCTAAGCCTTCAACAAGTTGATTCAGTAAATCTAAGTCTCAATTACAAAAAAATAATAAAATTTACTTCACAGGATGGCTATAAGGAGTATATAAAACAACACAGAAAATATCTTACAAATATCAAGACATAACAAATGTTATATCCTTTATATATATATATCCGTATTCAATAGAATCTCCCTTTCTCAGAGTGTGCTCTAACATAAGTAATGTATAAACAGATGTACAGCCAAGTTACCCTATAGTTCCTTAAATTGCCCATAAAGCACATATGTATGGTTTTGTGTATACAACCTCTCTTGAGGTCCCAACACTGAAGCTTTTCCTTAATTTGAAACAGACTACTTTAAGTGATTACAGCCCCAGATTAAGCTGTTGGTTTAGGTTTGGGATTATGTTAGAACAAAAAAAAAAAAAATGTGCAGCAAAGTGGCTCACACCTGTGATTCCAGTGCTTTGGAAGGCTGATGCAGGAGGATCATCTGAGGTCACAAGTTCAAGACCAGCCTGGACAACAAGCAAGACACCACCTCTACAGAAAATTTAAAAATTATAATAGCTGGGAGTGGAAGCATGCATTTGTAGTTTTAGCTACCCAGGAGGCTGAGGCAAGAGGACTGCTTGGACCCAGGAGTTTGAGGCTGCAGTGAGCTATGATCATACCACTCTACTCCTGCCTGGGCAACAAAGCAAAACCTCAACTTTAAACAACAAAAACCACCACTGTTTTTGTTGGCTGCACAGATGTATAGCCACATTATACCAATTAGGGCCGGCAAATCTAATCTGTAGTAATAGAAGTCAGAAAAACAGTAACTTGGAGGAGGAACAGTACTGAATAGTAAGAGTATCAAAGAAACTTTCTA